CCTCATTCGCTGGACCCACCTCCACAGCTGGTGAGTCCCTGGGGCTTCTTTGCTCAGAGGGAGTACAGCCCATCCCAGGGCAGTTCTGAATCTCTCAGAGGATACAACGCCCCTCAGATACTCAAGGATGGGATTGTCTCCTGGGAGGCTGGGAGTTGGGGAGAGAAACAGGGCAGGAGGGCACCAGAAGGGTCCAGGGGCTCTGAGGCTGCTGGATGTTGGGTGGGGTGTTCAAGGCAGAAGGAGAGGTATGGGGTGGGAGCCACTGGCTGAAGGGGTCTCATTGCTCCCAGAGGTGGTGATTTTGTACAGGTCCCTTCCCATCTGGGCCTCAGTTTCTCCCTTTGTAATAGAGGAGGATTCTGGCTCAGATCTCAAAGTACATCTCAGTCCTGACAGTGCAGGACACCACCTTAGGTCTGCAGAAGCGAAGGTCGGGCAATGTTGGGTGTTTGGGATGGTAGGGAAGATCAGAGCAATGACACAAGCGAGTCCCGGAGCACTTTCTTATCAGCCCTGTGGTGCTCAGCCTGTTCTTATCAAAGGAGAAACATCAAAATCAAACAAAAATAAACAAGGGCTTGGAGACCAGGTTCTATGGGATGTAAATCCCAGCTCTGCTGATTTCCAGCTGTTGTACCACGGACAAGCCACACTGAGTCCCAGTTTCATTGTCTGTGGAACGTGTCTCCTACCGTCACTCTCACAGGTTTGCTAAAAGATTCAGGTGAGACACCAGAAGCGGAAACCCCCACCCCCACCCACCCGGGCCTACCCACCCAGTGCTCAAGAAATGGCAGATTCATTTTTGTGTCCCCTCCCAGACATGCACATGGAAAAGTCCAGGCAAAGTCCCATGTGGGAGTGTGGTGTCAGCAGGACAGAGGACAGATCCTGGCAAAACATGAGGTTTGGGGAGGGCGCAGAGTCCATCCTACAGAGCGCTGGCTCTGAGCAGTCCCATTTAGGTTCCCCAAATCCTCTGATGGGTTGCTGAGTGGGAGTAACAGCGCAGAAGTGCATTCAGCTGTAGCTAAAGAGAGGGCTGGGGCACACAGGGACCAGGTGGCTGGCCATTACAATCAGAGAAAGAACCCCCACAGCATAAAGCTGGTGTCTGCTTTATGGCAGCATGAGGAGAGCACAGTCCTGGGTTCAAATTTCAGCTCTGCCACTTCCAGACTAGGTGACCTAGGTCATCAGATTTATCTCTCTGAGCTTCAGTTTCCTCACCTGTGAAATGGGCAGAGGTGGGGTGGCATTACTGTATTGCTTGATTGTTGTTAGGTTTAGAGGTGATGAATTCACCAACCCCAGAATGTGCCTGGCACACAGTAGGTGCTCAGTTAAATGGCATCATGGGTTCATTCATGATATCACTTATGTCCAAGGTCTTCAAATGTATCAGAAAGTTCTGATTGGGGTCTCGGTGACCTTCATCCTGCTTCTCTTCCTCCTCCTCTTCCTCCTCTTCCTCCTCAAGCACCAGCACAAATGCATCAAGTTAGGTGAGTAGATGCAAGACCTGGTCTAACTGAGAGGTGAGACCTTCTTTTAAAGACATATGAAGTGGCCTCGTAGGGCACTAGCCAAAATGTGGCACAGAAAAGGTAGAAAAAATGTTCACTTCTGAAAATTCTCCTAATTAAACAATCAAAAATTTCTAGAAAGCTCTTTCCATCCCAATTTGCACCCCATAACCTTGGGGTAAAGACTTGGGGTTTCCATGGAAGTGTGGCATTGAGGGGCAGGGTCCTACATGGAGGTAGCAGGGGTGTACCCAGCACCTGAAGGGCCATGCTGGTGATGGGGAGGGATGCCATGTGAAGGTGTCATTGTCAAGGGCAGTGGGGAGTGGGCACGGTGGTGAGGGGTGGGGGAAAATATGGAAGTGGTTGGGAGTTTAGTTGCTTTGAGAAAATATGTAAATATCTTGGGGATAAGTGTCTGTGAAGGATTTATAAAGGTACAAAAAGAGTTGGCTAGAAAGAAGCGAGGTGTTCTATTGGAATTAGAAATGTCAGTATAACCTCATTAAAAAATAAACATGTGTATTATCATTTGAAATAGAAATAGTTAAAGGTATAAGTGTTTGTACTGTGTGTCCTAGCTACATCCACTTCACATAGTGACAGCCCAGTAGAAAGACGCACACCCATCATCCAGATCTTGGCTTCTAAGTACCATCCTCTATTAGAATAAAGAGGTTTAATAAGGACAGACTTAGACTTTTAAATTTTTCTTTCAGTTTCATAAAAATCTATTGAAATCACCCATGCAAGTTTTGCGTGTTACCGTTTAGTCTTGTTTACATTGAATTCTAAATGGACCGGGGTGGGGATCAGAGCCTCTGAGGTCTAATGCAGCCCTGGGGGCTGGGTTCTGGGGTATTTTAGAAACTTATTTCTAACTTTGTGCAGGTGTTTCACACCCTGAAGCTCAGGCCAGAGCACTGCAGGAAAGGTAACTCCTCCCCAGAGACACTCCCCTGGCCTCCCACTCCTACCTGTGGCTCCATCACCATTACCTAATGCCCCTGTGGTCCTCCCCTCAGCTCCAAGTCCAGCTCCATGGCTTGTGTCCAGGAGGAGAACCAGTGTAATAGGGGAAGAGGTAAGGTCCTGCTGGGAGATGGAGGCAGAAGTGTGGTTGGGAGGGGTTCTGGGCTTAGGAGTGAGGAAACATGAAAATTTCCAAATCTGTGTGATGCTAGGCACATTCCTGCCCCTTGATGTGCCTTAGCCTACCCACCTAAGATCGGGAGTGGTGTGTGGGATGGCAGGATTTCAGGAATCTTGGCACGAGATAGAATCATCTTGTTCTCCAGATGCTCCCATAAGAGAACCCCAGCCTGAGGAGGACAAAGAGATGGACAGTTGGGTAAGAATCCTGCCCCGTCCGGGGATCCTGCACGGGCTTGTTAATAAGCTATATCCATGGAGTGCTTCTCTCTCCTTCTGTCACTCAACTCTCAGTGCATCTGACCTCGCCCTTCCTCCTGGAAGATGACACATTCAGTCTGTTACGACACCACTTCTCAGCAGGTTTTCCTGATACCACGTGGGCCCCTCTTTCTTGGCTCCCCTACTTGGATATATATATATATATATATAAAACTCTCATCAAGTTTATTGAAAATTTATGCTAGGGAATTAGTTTCAATGAACGTTGCTTCATAACATAGAAAACCCTTTCTCCCATAACCCTCCAAATGCAATACACGGATTTAATTCACTCTTATCTACTTGGGTCCTTTTAATTCTTTGTTGTCCGCATCTCATAATGACAGTGCTGCCATGGAGAGTTGTATAGTTTGTGCACTGCACAATAAGACTTTAAGATTTGAGACCCTGCTGGTAGGGTCTGAGTGGTGGGCCTTTTCTTGTTCACACAAAGGCCCTCTATAGACTAGCCCATCAATGCGCACAGATCCTCTGCCTTCCGTTTTCTCTGTTTATGCTCCACCATCTGGTCCCATGGGTTTAGACGCAGTGGAGCTGCACAACAATGTACCGTGGGTGACATAATTGGCATTTGGCTCCTACTCCCACAGGAAGTCCACCTAGCTAATCTCACCGTGAGGCAACACTGTATTTTATGTTGTCAAATTGATTAACCCCAGGTGTAGCTGGCCCTCTCCATGCTCATGAATCCACAATTATTTCCAGGCCTGACCTCTTGCCTGAACACCAGCCTCATACATCCAACTACCTGTGAGCCATCTCTGTTGTCCATCCAGCAGGCATTTTTATGTCACACATACAACTCTTAAATCCCCCCAAGGAGTTGCTTCTCCCACAATGTTCACTACCTCCAAAAAATCCAGAAGTCTTTCTCAATTCTTTCCTTTCCCTCGTCCCCACACTGATGTCTAGAGACATTTTGTTTGTCACAGCTGGGAGTGGGCTGCCAGTGGCATCTAGTGGCCAGGGATGCTGCTAAACATTCTACACTTCACAGGAAAGCCCCGACAACAAACACTTACCCGGCCACACACGTCCATTCTTCTGAGTGGAGGAACACTGTCACAAATAAAGTACTTCTTTCATTCGCTCTTTATGGCATCACTACTTCATTTTCTCCCTAACACTTATCACCATCCCAAATTATCAGTTTCCTTGTTTACGGACTGTTCCCAACCCACGGACCATGAATTCCTTGAGCGCAGGGCCCTTATCTGTCTCTTTTGTCTCCTGACAACTGCTCTGTCTCTCCATCTTTTTCTAAGTGTCTCTCTATATAGATAGATAGATGTATACAACATACAGCATATATGTATATAATATGTATGTATATATACAGCATATATATTTTTTCACACACACACACACACATATATATATACATACTATATATATATATATATATATATATATATATATATATATATATACTATATATATGTGTGTGTACATACTCGTATATTTCTGTTGGGTGAAGTGATGAATCAAAGCTTAAATGTAAGTCTTTCAAGATGCCTAGTTTCCCCTCACTTAATCAGTGAGTCAACAAATACTTACTGGGAATCTATCTTTGCAAGTCTCTGTCACAGACTAGCTAATATAAACATGAATAAAGATGCATCTAAACAAGCGATTCACATGATCTGATGTATGTTTTAAAGTCAGCTCTCTGGCTTCTGGGTAGAAACTTAACTAAGGAAGAACAAGTGGAAGCAAAGAGAGGAGTTCCACCCCCTCACAGTCTACCGCTAGCAGAGAGGCCTGACAACGAAGATCCCCAGGAAGTGATGTATGCCTAGCTGTCTCTCAGGGCTCAGGCGGGGGCTGGCCATGGTGCCTTCTATCCTATCAGAGGAATTACTGGACACAAAGGTCAGACAAGTAGGAGAGGACAGTCAGGTGGACCCTTTCTGCTCCCAGCGCCCTGGCTTCTCCCCAACCCAGTCATGCACCTGACTCTCACTCTTCCCTCTCCAGGATAATCCACCTGATGCCCCCCAGGATGTGACCTATGCCCAGCTGAACCGCTTGACCCTCAGACGGGAGACAAGTGTATCTCCTTCCTCCCTGTCAGAGAAGCCCCCAGATGAGCCCAGTGTGTATGCTGCTCTGGCCATTCACTAGCCTGGGGAGGACGCAGGCCCCACACTCCAGGAAGAAGGACTGCAGGGACCCAAGAAGACCCAGGAGCTGTTCCCATGGAGACACAGCGAGTGACCCTAAGCCTGGAGACCTTGTGAAAGCAAACAGGATATCCCAAGACCTTAGGAGTTACCTAATTCTGCAGATTAACATAATTATGAGCTCTACAGTTTTAGAAATAGAGCAGTACACTTCTACATAACCAATGGCTGAGAGAAGAAAACTCCAAATGAAGACAGAACTTTTTTACTTAAAAGATCATGTGAATCTTTCATATCAACACATATTTTTACCTACCGGTAATGCAAATATTATATATCAAGGTCAAATGGGAAAATTAAGTGCCTAAACGAAATGATTAGAAAGAAACAAAAGGGCCGACGGAGTGTCGCGTTGGTTAAGAGTTGGCTTGGGACGCCAGAGGGCCCCGGTTCAGATCCCACATATGAGGGCCAATGACACTGCCCTCTACAGCTAAGATGCGGAACAACAGCTCAACCTGGAGCTGGGCTGCCGTGAGTCACCGGCAACAGCGTAGGCTGCAGCCCCTGTGGCAGTGGGTTGCCATGGGCTACCGTGTGTAGCCAGCAGCCAGCGTGAGCGGCCAGCAGCCGCAGTGAATGGCCATCCAGAAGCCGGCGACTGATCTGCCTCGCCTGGGAAGAGCACAATGATGGTGCCAACTTGGGCCAGTGAAGCAACGTCCTCCACAACTAGACTGAAGAACAAAACGACAGCAACTTGTCTGTTCCCCTTCCCCCAATTCCCCAATTAAAATCTTTAAAAAAAGAAAAAAGAAACAGAAGCCTGAAACTCAGCAGCCTAGGTGAACACCTAAAGAAGTTAGACAAAGAATTGTAAATTCATTCCACGACAGTGGATGAAAGGATATAAGAATGATAAAAATATATATATGGGAAGAATAAAAAAGAGAATGATCAATTGTGTTAGTCTGCTCGGGTGGCCATAACAAAGGACCACAGACTGAGTGTCTTAAACAACAACAATCTATTCTCTCACGGTTCTGGAGGCTGGATGTCTGAAATCAAGGACTGGCAGGGTTGTGTCCTCTGAGGCCTTTTTCCTTAGGTCATCGACGGCTGCTTCTAGCTTCTGTTCACATGGCATTTCCTTGGTGTGTGTGTGAGAGGGGAGAGATCCCTGGGGTCTCTTCTTATAAGGACACCAACCTGATCTGATCAGGACCCCACCCTTATGATCTCATTTAACCCTAATTACTTCCTCAGAGGCCCCATCTCTGAATACAGCCACCCTAGGGGTTAGGGCTTCACCATGAATTTTGGGGGGGACATAAATATTCATGCCACAACATCCACCACATGAGCCCCCAAAATTCCACCACATGAGTCCCTCAAAATTCATGTCCTTTTCCCATGCAAAATACATTTGTTCCATCTCTACAATCCTCCAATTCTCCACTCATTCCAGCATCATGTATCAATTCTAAAATCAAAAATGTCATTTACATGTCATCTATGTCAGACTTGGGTGACACTCAGGGTAGGACTCACTCTGAGGCAGAATTTTTCTGCAGCCTTGAATCTGTGATCCAGACAAGTTGTGTGCTTCTAAAATGTAATGCTGGGGCGGGAACAGGAGAAATACCCCTATTCCCAAAGGGAGAAATCAGAAAGGCGGGAGTGATGGATTGCAAGCATGTTCAATATCCATCAAGGAAACTTCCATTAGATCTTAAGTCCCCACAATGATCTTTTCCATTCAATGTTCTGCCTTTCAGATCCTCTGGGGTGGCAGCATCACCCCATGGCTCAGCTGGGTGACACGGCCCCTTCATCTCCCTGTAGGGGTCCTACTCCCAAGGCTTTAGTGGAAGCCATCTGCACTGTTGAAACCAAGGCAGTGACTCAATCTTTGAAACCAAGGAGTCAGCCCTGATGATCTCTGAATCACCTTTTGAGGCATTCTTTCCTTTTCTTGAAGAAAAACAGCACATGTTTGGAGACAGATAATTTTACCATCCAGTCCTATAGAATCTGAGCAGTTTGATACCTTTCATTCATTTTGTCTCATCTCCATCCCCTTCAGTTCAAACTGGTGGTGTTTCTTCTCCTACAATCCCACCATCTCTTTCCTGACTGCCAGTCCATTCCCACCTGTGGAGTTCTCCTCCAAGTACACTTTCTCATTTGTGGCAATACAGACAGTGCAGAAGTTTCCAAATCTTTAAGTTCCCAGTCCGTTGGCTTAACAGTCCATTCCTCCATTCATCGCTCTCCTCTTGAATGTTGCTATAAGCACTCAGGATGGCCCACATTAACATTTTGCTTAGGAACCCCTTCAACTAAATGATGCAATTTTATAACCCACAAGTTCTATCTTCTAGAAACATTAGAAGAAAATTCAGTCCAGTTCTTTGCCACTTGATGACAAGAATCACCATCTCTCTATTGTCTAAAAGCACATTCATCATTTCCATCTTACCGGAATGGATTTTACAGTCCATATTTCACCAACGCTCTGTTCACTGTTCCTCATGTATTCTCTGAGAAGATGGAGCAAACACATTCCAACACATTTATATAGGCTAGTAGGAAAATCTGAAAAGTTGTATCCCAAGAGAGGAATATCATACTTAGGTTTCCCACATAAACTTAGATGCAAAATAACATTTAAAATTGGGATAAAATCTGTACATGACTTTACCGATCAATTCACACAGGCAGTGGGTGGTAGACAAATACTTAAATAAAGGTCAATTTTCCTCAACAAATCAAAGCTCTAGGCCAAATCACTGTCTCATAAATTTTAGGACAAGTCGTGGAACCAGGAAGACAGTTCTGCCCAAGGAGGAAGGGGCACTGAGCAGCAGCAGTAACCCAGAGGCAGTTCCCAGGAAGCTGGAGTGGACGCTGTTGCTAAGAAATAAGAGGGGGCCTTGAAGAGGGCTGTGATACAAAGAAAGCCACATCTGGGGCCAGGAGAAGGGTTGTGTTTCCTTCCCTGTATCCCTGTGTTTCCGCTTTGTGCTCATTGTTACAGTGATGCTCCCTGAACTGCACAGTGAGATGGTAAATGTGTGTCTCTACTGATCTGAGCTCTGAAGCAGGAGCCCGTGTCTTCCTGAAGCATCCTCAGGGCCTAAGTGACCACATTCCACGGTGAGGACGCCACAGGGAGGTGCTGATGGATGGGCTGAGGATGAAGGAGACCCCGTGAGGGAGGCTATGACAGGAAAGAACATGCCCTGGGTCATTTTACCTGGAAGGGGGGGTCTCAGGAAGTCACAGGGTCCATTTGCTACTTCATCCTAGAAAAGAAACCAGGCTCCTGGGGAGGGTTTGTTCCTTTTCTGTGCAGCTGCTGACTTGACAACCACGTGAGAGGGAGGGACAACCTCTGAGTGACCCCACCCTGTATATCTGTCTGTCCTGAGGGCTCCACGGTTTCTTTCCTGTGCATAGCTGAGACCAGAGGAAGGAGACGCCATGATCCCCACCCTCATTGCCCTGCTCTGTCTTGGTGAGATTGAAGAGGGGAGGGAAGCCCTGGTCTGGGAGGGACCCTGCCCCTAGCTAGGCCCTGGTCAGTCAGGAGACCTCAGGACTCAGGAGGCTCATGGGGAACAGGGCTCTGCTCAGGAGTCAGGGGCAAATCTCTCACAGGGACTCTCTTCCAGGACTGAGCGTGGGGCCGAGGACCCAAGTGCAGGCAGGTGAGTCTGTCCCCAAGTGTCCCAGGTCCCATCTCACTGGGGACAAAGGGCCAACCCATGGGCAGCTGGAGATGGAGAACAACAGATCTGGGCTGATAGATGGGGGATGTCTGGGAGGTTTGAGATTGAGAGCTGGGAACTGGAGGTGGGGAATGTCTCTAATTCAGCCTCTGATTCCTTCCAGGGACCCTCCCCAAACCCACCATCTGGGCTGAGCCAGGCTCTATGATCCTCTGGGGGAGCCCTGTGACCATCTGGTGTCAGGGGACTCTGAAGGCCCAGGAGTTCCGTGTGGATAAAGAGGGAAGCACAGAACCCTGGTACAGACAGAAGCCACTAGAGCCCGGGAACAAGGGCAAGTTCCCCATCACACGCATGACAGAGAACACTGCAGGGAGATATCGCTGTTACTATCTCAATCCTGCTGGCTGGTCAGAGCACAGTGAACCCCTGGAGTTGGTGGTGACAGGTGAGAGGACACTCAGTGTCCAAGTCTCTGGCTGTGCCCTCAGGAAGGGGTTCTGCTCTCAAGGTGTCTCCCCCTCACATCCAGCTCTGGGGTTGTGAGGGAGGTGAGAGCCCCATTTAATATACTGCCTCCTCTTCTCCTAGGCATCTACAGCAAACCCTACCTCTTAGCCCAGCCGAGCCCTGACATGACCTCAGGAGAGAATGTGACCCTCCTGTGTGGCTCACAGGAAGGATTTGGCATCTTTATTCTGGCTAAGGAAGGAGAACACAGGCCCCCCTGGGCTTTGGACTCACAGCGACATTTCAGTGGGAATTTCCAGGCCCTGTTCCCTGTGGGTCCTGTGACCACCAGCCACAGGTGGACATTCAAATGTTATGGCCGTTACAGGAACATCCCTGAGGTGTGGTCACAGCCCAGTGACACCATAGAGCTCCTGGTCTCAGGTGAGGAGCCCAAACCTGTTTTTCTCGTGTTTGTATGGTCAGCTCAGGACCCTGCCCAGGACAGCCCCCATCCAGGAAGGGAGTGAGGGGGTCCTAAGGGAGCATCATCCCAACGGGAATCTGCCCCTCAGAGGGATGAAGAACAACAGGGCCCTCCCACTCCTGCCCCTTCCACATACCTGTCACCAGAATTCTCCAGGTATGTGGAGTGATGGCCCCATGACCACCAGCCACCGGTGGACATTCAAATGTTATGGCCATTACAGGAACAACCCTGAGGTGTGGTCAGACCCCAGTGACACCCTAGAGCTCCTGGTGACAGGGGAGGAGTCAGCAGGTTTGGTAAGGGTTCAAGACCGCACAGCCCCTGCCGGGAAGTCCAGGTGGTGATGGCTGGGACCAGGGGTGTGGGGTCCCCAGGGAGGGAGAGAGAGAGAGAGAGAGAGAGAGAGAGAGAGAGAGAGAGAGAGAGAGAGTGATGGGCAGGGAAAAGGAGAAACTCAAAGAAAACAGAATCAGACAGAGACAAGGGTACTGAGAGAGAGGCTTGTGAGTCTCA